ACAAAATATATATTGTGTGTTGGAGTGGTCCAGACGCTACAGTTCTCATGTGGGAAATTTGAGTTTTAATCTGGCATGCAACATTTCCCGATTCTCTACCCTCTTGTTTTTTGTTTGGATCAATAAGAGATAATAAAACAGCCCTTTCCTGCAGCTTATGTGTGACATAGTACACCGTAAGCGTAAGCATGATCTGTGTAGTGTTTTGATAGCCTGTATAGAGATCTGTGCAATATCTCCGTTGTTTGTCCTACATAGCAATTAGATTGCATTGGAGAAATTTCTACTGAGCTTTGAATGAGCAATCTTTTGAGCAATAAAATGAGTATATCTGTCCAGATTTGAGCTGTACTCTTACAAATTAAGCCTTTAACATCCAGGGAACCTTTCCAACTTTAAAATGTTCTTCACACCAAGTAAAAAAAAAAAGACCTTACTAAAAGATTCTTTGGATAACCCACAATAGTTCTATGGCATCAGTTTGAAGCCAAGTCTCTTTTGGAAACTTTATTTTTAAGAGTTTAAACTATTTAAATGAGGTTTAGATTGGAAGGGTTTTACGTTATACCAAATTTCAGCCAGTTTCCAGCGACTACGTCATTCCCTCATCCAACTGTTTTACCAGCTTCCCTCTTCCAGCCCAGCAGAGTCCAAAGATCACCTACTGTTTGCTTTCCGTCTGTCCCTGGACGTGCCATACTGTAAAATCCCTCTGTTTCCTTCAAGCTTTCGCAGTCGTCCAATCACGAACCCCCTTCTTAGGCCACAACTGTAGCCGCTGGCTCCACCCAGCCCTGGAAACCTCTTCCTGAGGTCAGGTTACACCCTTAACGTTCACCTGTACTCTAAGTAAGGGGCCTCACTTGCAGTTGCATTATGGGAACTGTAGTGACATTCTGCATGTCCTTTTCCACGCATGTTTATGGGGTGGTGGTTTAGTGTGAAACTGCTGATTCTCTAGGGATTCTGGATGGCAGACGTGTGATTCAGGTATGACACCTTCAGCTGGTGCACTCTTATTATTTAATACAT